ATCCCTGTGATAAAACAACCCTAGGGCCCTCGGTGGGCCAAAAAATCACGAAAAACCGAGACTTACCGGCGGCGGTGCTCTCGGGTACGGCGGCTCCTCCGGTGTGAGTCGCGTTTTGATGTTTGGCTCTGATCAACCTGTAGAGAAAAGAACGGTGATCACAGTGGTATAAAATTTGTATCGAATGGAGGCCGGGAAGGGCCTCATCGGAGTAAAAACAGAGGGGAGTCGCGGCGCCGCCACCGAACTTCGGCGGAGTTTTTCGGCCGTTTGGCCGGTGGTTTGGCTCCTATTTGGCCATAGGCGGATTCAGCATCGAAAAACGAGCCAGGGGGAGAAAATTTACCTCGATTGGCGGTCGAAAACTTCTCCGGTGCGGCGGCGGATGGTAGCGGCCGGCTCCTCCGGCATCTGGTTCTTCTTCTCCGGCGAGGCACTGGTGGCTAGGGTTTTGTGGTCAGGTGTGGGTGGGGTTATTTATACCATTTGCCTTTTAATCTCAACCGTCCATCAAGATTAAATCTGAACCGTCAGATCGCGATTTAATTGGGATTAAATCTGGGCCGTCCATCGCGATGCGATCTAGGCCGTCCGTGCCTGATTGAATCTGGGCCGTCTGTACGCGTGAATCTGGGTCGTCCGTGCGCACGTTTGATCTGGGTCGTCTGTGCGCACGCGGATCTCCCACGTGGCCCGTCCCGTGTGAGCGTTTCCTTGCCACGCGGCGTATCCTGGTTGGCCGGGGCTGCTGACGTGGCACAACTTTTTTAAATTGCGTTTTGACCTCCGGTTTCTGATTTTCTTTTCAAAAATACCCCCAGAATCTAAATTTTAACCCATTTTTTCCAAAATCAATTTCAATTAAATCCAAATAATATTTTTACCCAATTTTATCATTATTATTATTTTTATTTTCATTAAATTAAATTAAATTAAAATCTAAAAAATTCAAATAAAAAAAAAGAAAAATAAATAAAAATAATATATAAAAAAAATATTTTGGGTGTTACAACCTATGATATAGGTCCACATTTACATCATGTGAAGAAAACATAGTGAAAGAATTCAATTGTACAAAAAAGTAAATTTGGTTGTAATTAGATCCAAAATACAAAGAAATCTTTATAGGAATTGCAATGAGATGGGTTTACGATCGGGTTTACCAAACCCGAATCCAACCCACCCCAATATACCACAAACCTAAACTTGCCCCAGGTTTGAATTTTGTTTTTTAAATTTTTTCTGTCACACCTAATTTATAAGTTATCTTATTCGAAAATAACCTAGTTATTTCATCATGTTAATACAAATATAATTATATTTATAATAAAAAAAATTAAAAATGTATTTATTGATGTAATATATTATAAATATAAATATATTATAATAATAAAATTTAATGTATTTATATATACACAGACATAAAAAGTCGCATTCGGACAAGTTCTAAAAGGACAAATTTGAACTCGCCTTTGACTTGCTCTTCTTTTTCCATCATCTTGAACCCGCACTTTAACGAAGAATATTGCACGAATCGAATTCAAACAAGTCGAATTAAGCAAATTTTAATATAAAATACCATCTCAAAATCCTTATAAGTTACCATTGTTCTTCTACTGGAGATTTTTATTTTTTATTTTTGTATGCTAAGCATAATTCCATAATCCTATCTTTGTGGGTGACAATTTCATTATTTATTATGAGGATAGCAAATAGCAAAGCAAGAGAAGAGAAATCGTAAGAGCATAATTAAAGAATAGTGAATTTTTTTAGTAATAAATTAAGTGACCAATTATGTTCATGCTCTTTTGCTGTTTGATTTTAACCAAGAATTAGATTACAATTAGGAAAAATACTGGCACCAACTTCCCAACTCTAAATATAGTTTTAATTATATAATTTGAATGGTCACACCGTGGAGTCCATTGTTGATGATAATACAAGGGTATCCATTAAGTGCAAACCTACGAAATTCAACATATAAAGGTGTTAGTGATTTTGATAATACCTGATTTTGCAAGATATTCATCAAATTATATTGATCAAAGTAAGTACTTCTTATTTAAGAAATAAGTAAGTATTGGTGCAGAATGAATTAGTTTTGAATTATCTAAATAGATTAGAAATGATAATTTCATTTAATATAAAATTACTTTAGTATCTAGAAGTCCATTATTATAATTTTAATAATTTTAGTATTTTATTTTTATTAATATTTAGTTTGGAATTTATTTTATTTTCAAGTTGTATTCATATTTTTTAAATATTTTAATATTTTTAGTTTTCTATCTAATACGGATTAATATTTATAATCATATTATATTTAATATTTAACTGTTTCATCCTATTTACTAAATGGTACTAAGGTTAAACAATAAATCTCGCCGTAATTTCACTTTTTTAGAAAGAATTCTATTATTTAATAAATATTTTAAGATTTTCTCAATTTTCTAGTTACATGATACAATTAAATCCTTAAGTCCAATACTTAAGACTTCTTAGATATGTCTAAAAAACCTGTATTGTCAAATATCAAGTTGATATGAACACCAAAGGATTCCTATACCCGAACACATCTCTTTGTGGCATTTCACCAAATTCTTTGAACCCATCTACCAATATCTGATTCTTGATGTACATATCAGCCAAAGAGTTCCCAACACAAATCTCACCACCATGACCAGATTTTACAAGCTGCGCATGAACTTGCAGTCCCATTTTCAAATCAGAAAGTGCAGCTAACCCAGTAAGAACAGTTGCATAAGTGAAGCTATCGGGCTTCACCCCTTCGCGAATCATTCCGTACCAAAATGCAGGAACATGAAAGTAAGAATACTGCAGGTAACCCGCCATCATGGCATTCCAAGACACAATATCTTTATCTTGGGAATTCTCAAAAACTTCCAGAGCTTCCCCCAGCTTACAATGCCTTATCATTGCCGTCAAAAATGCATTCATCAAGAAGATATTCGACTCAAATCCCAAACGAACAACCAACGAGTAAACCTGGAAAGCAGGAGCCAAATCCTCATATAACGAGCAGGCTTGAAGTGCGCTTACCAGGGTGAACTGGTTGGGTCTTGAAGTTCCATCCCGAAGCATACAACGGAACAAAAACAGAGCATCACAGGGGCAGCCATGTTGGACAAAGCCAGCAATGATGGAGGACCAAGACACCACATTTCGTTCAGGCATTTCATCGAACAGTTTGTACCCACTGATATGATCCCCACTCTTTGTATACATATTGAGAAGATTGTTTTGAGTAAAAAGTGAAAAAGGAAGATACCCTTTTATTAGATTAGCATAGATGGCTCTTCCACGTTGCAGAGCAGAGCTACTGGTGCATTTTCGCAGCTAGTCAGAGTAAAGTTCTTCTTCCTCCATTGCCGAGTCCGGCGAGCATTTGGATACAAAGTACCTTTCAATAGTCACGAGATAGGTGGCCTCTTAGTTTATACTCCCCCTTTTTAATTTGGCTTTGGTTCTTACATTTTGGGAATTCTGTGAGCTTTATTTTCTGCCACAAAATTTTATACCCCATTGAATTATAAAATATGACTTTTGGTCACTTCAAATTGAATAAGTATAAAATTTATTTTGTAGAAAAAAAGTATATAATATAAGTAAACTATAATATAATATAATGTAAGGCCTTTTCGTTGTGGGAGGCTAATAAAATTGAAAAAATGAAAGTGGATTACTTCTCTTTTATTATAAATATTCATGGGCATATAATAATAGATATATATAAAGATATATTCATGTCTTGTACATTAAAAGAGACACAATTATGTAAATAAACAGTAAAACATTGTATAATAATACAAGAAAGATGAGAGAGAGAAAAATTGTTATTTAGCAAACAAAAATACTATTAGTTAATTATATTAAAGAGGTTGTTTACACAAAACCTAAAATTAAAATTTTGATAAATATTATTTAATGGGGATTGAAAATGCCTTTGCCATGACCACCATGGCAGTGGTTGGTTTTAGAGCAACCCCGATGGTAAGGATTAGTCGCAACAAGAGGAGCATGAGGATCGTGGTGGCAACTATGAGGTTTTGGTTCCAGTTTCAGACATGGATCCATAACCCACGGATCAATCCGTTGAGCTGCTGTTATCGCCACCAACATACTCATCAGCAAAATAAACAACACAATCAATATCCTTTTTCTCTCGAACACCACTGTCATCTTTCCACGACTATTATATTCTCTCTTTGTGTACTTTTACTTGTTGTTGCTTGATTTTCTTATGAATGATTTAACTTCATTTTATAGTATTTTTTGTCTAAATTGAATAAAACAAATGAAATTTAACAGATAACCTTTTTCATAATCTTAAAAATTAATAGTTGTATTCTTCAGGGATACATGAAGACTTATCCATTTTCAACGGTTTTCTTTCTTAATTAATTTATGGTCACTTTTCTTTTTTTCTTTTAGAGGTAATTAAAGAACTTTTGACTCAGAATAGAAATTAACACGTTAAGATAGTAATTAATATAGTGTTATACGAAGTATTTATATCAAACAATTAATCATAAATGTGTGATATTTTGCTCATAATTATGGGCTTAAAATACTAGTTTAAAACTAGATAAAACTATTTTTTAAGGATTATTTCTTTTTTTCAATAATCTAATGTTAAATCAAAAAATTATAAACTCGGTCAGTCATTTGAATTAGCATAAACTCAGTCAGTTATTTCTTCAATTTAATAATTTGAATTTTAATAACTTATTAAATTAAGAATTGATGAAATAAAAGATATCTTTGTATGTTAATGTATAAATAATTTGACAATTAAAATAGTTCTTAATTAATCATTATACTTTCGACAATCCAACCATTCCTTTCTTCTTATATCATTCAGATAGTCTCGGTCTAGTGCAAGTGTCTCAACAACTCAACAAAACAAGTATGTCTCTTGTAGTAAGGCGATGACGATCGTACTCTCGGTGAAAAATAAGAATATATTTTATCAATGGATCTATTACAAAACTGTGACATCCCAAGTTCTAATTAAAGAAAACAGGAGTCAGATACAGATTTAGAATAACGAGTGCATAATAAAATTTATGCAGCAGAATCAAATCATAACAATCCCTTATAAATATATATAATGTTCCAAATACATACATAAACTGATGCCAGAAGTGGTTACAAAATACAAAATATAAGGTTCACTTCTTTCACTATGCTACTGGATTCATCAAAGTGTGGGAACAATCATGAACTCAGACTTGTGGATTCACGGGATCCTCATAGACTTTTAAGGGTAGGTTTGCCTGCGGTTCCTCATTTTCTTCCTTATCTTTTGGCGGGGGCAAGAGGGGAAGGGCATAAAAAGAATGAGTTCCATATACTCAATAAAGAAAATAATATTAAATTAACATCATAAGATTTTAAAAGTCTATTATTTTATCTTACCGTTCAACTTCCTTGTTTACCTATCTCACCATTATGAAAATCATTTATTTGAATATGAAAATGGTACGTTAGCATAGAAGATCATATATACATCATGTTAGATAATAGAGAAAATCAAATAAATCATGAAATGCAAAGATTTTTCGTATCATATTTCGCAAAGTCGTTACAAACTTCCATCTCTGAGGGCAGATAATGATTTCCAACTATCCAAGTGGAATGACTAAAGTAGATACAAATACAGCAATTTGCTTAGGCCCACTTCCGGCTGGCCAAACCATAGTATGATCTATGACCATGATAGCACCAACCATAGTGGTCCTAACATACATCTATAGTCACGACATTACGTAATTACGGGTGACCCCGACAAGTAGCGGGATACCACTCTCGTCAGAGGGCACACCGTCATTCACAGGGAGCGATCTTCTTACGTCTTTTTCGACAAGATAGAGGAGGGAGAAACAGATACCCCTCAGAGATAAAAAGCCTAATGAGACATTTGATGCAATATATATGTCAATACAGATACACTTCGGACCATACAAACTTCATTTTACTTTTATCTTTTTTTTTCTTTTTACTTTTACTACTATGAATTACATATTATATTTACTACATGTAAATTCATCAAGTGTCTATAATTCACATAGCATACTTGAAAACTAGAACAATTCGACTCATTTGAACACAGAGGTATACAAAACTGGTAAAATAGCACTCATATTAAATTTGCTTATCTAAAAATACTCTTTAAGACATCGAAAGTAATACTAGATTCCTTACCGAAACCTTGATGATTTCTTCTTCACTATTTTCTTTCCTTTCTCTTTTTCTCTCTCTAATCTGCTATCTCTCTCTCTAAACCTTTGAAAAATGGAAGAAATAGAAGTGTGGAGAGGAAGGAAAAGGGGACAATTTATAGAATTTTAAAATCGTTAGATTCACAACAAGTTACAAAATCCGGTGAAGAGAGAGGAGAAAAAGATTTTTGCCATGAAAAATGAGGAAGAAAGACCTCTTCCACTGGCGGTGGCGGTGCGCCGGCCAAGGCAACGATGGTGCTCTGCCCGAGGTGGCAGTGCCCGACCGACGCGTTGTAAGCTAGCCTGCTAATGCACAGTCCTACTATTACGTGTGCAGGGTCTAAGTGGATTAGGCGACGCACGCAAAGGCCTACTGCATTTAGGTCCCAAGCGCACAGGGCCTATCTGCGCACGCCTCCTGCGTGGACGGTGCTCGCACAATGTGCGGCGCTAGTCCGTGCACGCGGTGATGCGCGGATGGCCTGCCTGCGCGAGACAAGATGCGCGCACAAGTCCTGACCCTGCGCCATACACGTGGAGGGGATGTGCACGTTATGCGCACGTCCCGTGCGTGCGTGTGTGCGTGCATGCAGAGGGGACGTGCGCGCTGTGCAGATGTCTCGTGCGTGCTAGCGTACGGATGGGTCGTGGGCACTGTGCGCACGCCCTGTGGCAACTATGCGCGCATGCGCGCGCGCACAGTGCCCAGCACCCGCGCTGGCAAACTGCCCTCTCGCGGGATTTTTTATGCTAGCGGTTTTATCCTGTTTTGTCGTTTCCCAATTTTTTTCTAATTTTTCTTTTAATTTAAAAATAAAATAAAACAAAAATAAAAATTAATAAAAATAAAAAATTAATAACAATCACGAATCATGAAAAATGTTAAACAACGTGAATTAATGAAGTTTAAGGGGCCAAAGGCATGAATAAATAAACTTTCTAAATTATTTTAGCATAGTGATGGACGAGGTGTTACATCCCTCCCACCTAAAAAAATTTGGTCCCCAAATTTGTCTCGAATAAGTGTGGATACTTTTTCTTCATTTCGTCCTCCAATTCCCATGTTGCTTCTTCCGAAGTATGATGTTGTTATCGTACCTTCACCATGGGGATCGTCTCATTATGTAAGACCTTATCAGTCCACCTGACAATTTCTATAAGAACCTCCTCATAGGTCATATCGGCCTATACTTGTACCTCATAATGAGGAATAACATGAGAAGGATTAGGGTGGTACCTCTTGAGCATTGAGCACATGAAAGACATCATGCAATTCTGTGAACTCTCGGGATAGAGTGAGGCAATAAACCACAAGTCCAATACGCTCGACGATCAGAAAAAGTCCCATATAATGAGGGCTCAACTTCCTTCTCTTTCTAAACCGCATCTTGCTTTTGCAGGGGTAAACTTTTAAGGAAACTTGATCTCCCACAGCAAACTCCAAGGTCGCTTATAATTATCGGTGTAGGTCTTTTGGTGGCTTTAGGCAGTTATCAAATTCTTGTGGATGATTGCAACCTTCTCTATGGTCTCTTGAATGAAGTCTCGTCTAAAGTGGTGCTGGTTCCTGACTTCGCTCCAGCAAGTAAGGGAATGGCAAGGTCTTCTATATAAAGCTTCATACGAGGCCATACCAATACTGGAATTGTAGCTATTATTATAAGCAAATTCATAAAGAGGAAGATACTCGTATCAATTATCATCAAAGTCGAGAACGCAAGCACGTAACATATCTTTCAACGTTTGGATCGTACGCTCTAACTGACCATCTGTCTAAGGATGATAACCAATGCTGAAGTACAACCTAGACCCCAGAGCTTCTTGAAAGTTGTCCCAAAAGTGAGAAGTGAACTGGGGGTCGTGGTCGGATACAATGGATAAGGGAACTCCATGAAGTCGAACAATCTCATCAACATATAGGCAGACTAACTTACTGGTGGAGTCCGTAGTTCTAATAGGCAAGAAATGGGCAGTCATGGTCAACCTATCTACAATGACCCAAATGGCATTTCGACCAAAATAAGTCATGGATAATCCAATGACAAAGTCCATAGTCACGTGCTCCCATTTCTATTCGGAAATTGGAAGACCCTATAGCAAGCCACTAGGTCTTTGATGTTCTACCTTTATCTATTGACAAGTAAGGCATCGGGAGACGTAGCCAACTATATCCTTCGTCATTTCTGGCCACCAATATTTTCATTTCAAGTTCTGGTACATTTTAGTACTTCTGAGATGAATTGATAACTTGGAAGCATAGATGGTCTTGAGT